CTTTGTTGAAGAGGGTCAGTGTAGCTTGTCTGCTTATTCCACCATCTTACCAGAAGTCTGTCTCCACTGCTGCTTTTTTGTTGTTTTTTAAACAGCTTTATTAAGGTTTGTGTGATATAAAATCAACTATACATAAAACAATTGACTGCTAACTGAAAGGTCTGAGGTTCAAACCCACCAGCCACTCCACAGGAGAAAGATGTGGCAGTCTGCTTCCATAAAGGCTGATAACCTTGGAAACGGTGTAGGCTCACTATGAGTTGGAATTGACTTGATGGCAACAAGTTGCATGTACATATTTAAACTCTATAATTAGTCTGTTTTTTTTTTTTTTTTTTTTAAAAAAAAAAAACATGTGTGTACACCTGTTCTGTTGTGTGTAGGGTTGCTGTGAATCAGAACTGCCTTGATGGCACTTAACAACAAGACACCTGTGAAGCCATCACCACAAGCAAAATAGTGAACATACTATACGCATTACCTGAAAAATTTTCCTCTTGCTCCTTTCCAATCTCTCCCTTCCTTCTCCATCACAGGCAACCAGTGATGTGCTTTCTGTCACTAGATTTTGTTTTAGAATTTAAAAAGAATTTCACATAAATGGAATCATAAGTATGTAAGTATGTACTTCTTTTTGCCCAGCATAGTTACTTTGAGGCTCATCCATGTTGCTGCATGTATCAATAGTTCATCCTGTTTTATTGCTGAATAGCATTCCATTTTTGGGGTATACCACAATTTATTTATCCATTCTTCCATTGATGAGGCATTTAGTATGTTTCCAGTTTTTTGTTATAACAAAGCTGCTATAAATGTTTATGTACAGGTCTTTGTATTGGCACATGCTTTCTTTTCTCTTGTGTAAATGAACACCTAAGAGTAGAAAGGCTGAGTCATATGGTAGGTATATGTTTAACTTTATAAGAAACTACCAAACTGTATTACCAAATTCTTTATAAGAAACTACCAAAGTATTTACATCATTTTATACTCCCACCAGCAGTGTATAACAATGTCAGGTACTGGCTTTCATGGCTGCTTAAGAGGAAGTTGGGAAGTAGGCTTCTCTCTCTTGCTGTTCAAATCTTTTGTCTGCTCTGCAATGGGAAATGCCTTCCCAACACACCATCAGCGCAAGCCTGAATAAGAAAAACAGTTTCATCCACCTAAACCATGGCATATAGAAATAATCAGAGTGGGAAATACTCTTCAGAAGAACCTAGATGAACTCATAGGGTCTCAACAGATCACTCCCCAACTTGCCTTTCAAGTTCTACTTCAGTTTAATAAACTCAATGTGTTAGTCTGGGTTCTCTAGAGAAACAAAAACCAGTAAAGCTTATATATATATAGAGAGAGAGAGAGAGAGAGAGAGAGAGAGAGAGAGAGAATTTTATCTTAGAAGTAATAAATATGCTACGAATAAAATGGA